GACAAAGAAGAGAACCTAAAAACTTCCCAAAGAAAAAAGCATATATAAAGAATCAACAATCGGCAAGGTACAGGACGTCTAGAGCAATACCTTCAAAATGTTAAGGGAAAATAGTTATTTCCAAGTCAGAATTCCATACCCAGTCAAATTATTAATCAAGGCCAGGCATGGTGGCTCTTGTCTGTAATCCCAACACTTTGGGAGGCCAAGGTGGGAGAATCGCTTCAGCCCAGAAGTTTGAGACCAACCCAGCAACACAGTGAGACACTATCTCAACAAAAAAATAAGAAGGTAGCTGGGCATAGTGGTGCATGCCTGTAGTCCCACCTACACAGGAGACTGAGGTGGGAAGATCGCTCGAGCCCAGAAGGTTGAAGCACAGTGAGCCATGAATCATCATGTCACTGCACTCCAGTCTGGGCGACAGAGTAGGACTCTGTCTTCAGCTGGCAGGGGAGGAAATTCCCAGAAAGGCAGCTGTGCAGAAGGACTAGGGAAAGGGAAAAAAAAACAGTCCAGACTGGAGAAGGACTGAGTACTACAGGGGGGAAAAAAAGTCACTGACAAATTCTCCACAAGTTTTTCACTCATTGGTGAATTGAAGAGTTTTACAAGGCAGCAAAAGTCTTCTATGATCAGAAGTCAAAAGATTACATATAAATCAAAAGCAATTTTACCATATCCACGAAAATAAAATACTTTTTTTTTTTTTTTGAGACGGAGTCTCACTCTGTCGCCCAGGCTGGAGTGCAGTGGGGCGATCTCGGCTCACTGCAAGCTCCTTCTCCCGAGTTCACACCATTCTCCTGCCTCAGCCTCCCGCGTAGCTGGGACTACAGGCGCCCGCCACCACCCCGGCTAATGTTTTTGTATGTTTAGTAGACACAGGGTTTCACCGTGTTAGCCAGGCTGGTTTCAAACTACTGACCTCAGGCGATCCACCTGCCTCAGCCTCCCAAAGTGCTGGGATTACAGGCGTGAGCCACCGCGCCTGGCTTATTTGGTCTTTCGATCTATGTACCTGTATTATTTTGATAAATGTAAACATGTCAGCAATAACCTGAATTATCTTCAACTATACCAAAACAAAAAACCAACCTAAATTCATCTACCTACTTGAAGCTTCCAATAGTGCCCTGCTTTCGTCTTTAAATTGGGGAGAGAAATTTAGAGAGTATCTTTAGAAACCAAAAATCATAAAGCATGATTTTGGTCACATTTTGTTTTGTTTTTGTAGAGAAGAGGTTTCACTATGTTGTCCAAGCTGGTCTCAAACTCCTGGGCTCAAGGCCTTCCATCTCAGCCTCCCAAAGTTCTGGGATTACAGGTGTGAGCCACTGCAGTCAGCCTATCATATGCTTTTGAAAATTCACGGAACCTAGTGTTTGGGTATAAGCTTTAGAGTTAAAAGACCTATGTTCAAATCTTGACTCAACTGGGCAAGTTACTTTTCCAAGTCTAGTTTTCTGATCTATAAAATGAGAATTCTCACCACCTACTTGACAGGATGTTTGGAAAATTGGGTGAAATAATACATAAGTATTTGGCATGATGCCTCAGTTACTAGACCTCGATAAATGGTAGCTGTTTTGACAGCAATTATTACTATTTACTACTATTATTACTCTTACTTATTTTCCCCCGACCAAAATTTGCCTAAAACATTCTAGAACAAGCTCGTCCGACTCGTGGCCCCAGCCCAGGACAGCTGTGAATGCAGCCCAATACAGATTTGTAAACTTTCTTAAAACGTTATGAGATTTTTTTGCAATTTTATTTTTTAGTGCATCAGCTATCATTAGTGTTAGTGTATTTTATGTGTAGCCTTCTTCCAATGTGGCCCAAGAAAGCCGGAAGACTGGACAGCCCTGTTCCAGAAGAAACGACAACATCGAGCTGCTTCTCAAACGGCTCAGAAGACTTCTGTTTGTTGGCCTTAGCATGCTGAATTTCACACCACTCCATAACGTATTTCAACATTTCACTATTTATATACTGGAGCAAAACGGAATGCATAAACTAAAACTCATCAGATAAACACTAAGCCCTAGCTGTTGGTCTCCAGAGAATAAAATACCAGCAAACTAGCTGCAAAAGAACATTGTTTTTATGTCAATAAAACCTATACAAAGCTTTAAAATATAAGCCATATTCAACAATTTAAATTATTTTAAATTTGAATTTGTATCTCCTTGAAAGCATTGAATCGAAACAGACAACAGATGGACAAAAAATACCACCTTTGGAATCTGACAGTTCTAAGCCTGAAGCCTACTTTGCCTTCTACTCACTAGTATGACCTTGATCAAGATTCTAAACCTCTCTAAGCCTCAGTTTTCTTACCTGTATGACAAGGCACAACCAATTACTTCATGGGGTTATTGTGACAATTAAAGGAGATATGTCCAAACAGCCCTGTAGTAGATTGTCCAGAAATGAGAACTGGCCAGGCGCAGTGGCTCACGACTGTAATTCCAACACTTTGGGAGGCCGAGGCAGGTGGATCACCTGAGGTGAGGAGTTCGAGACCAGGTTGACCAACATAGTGAAACCCCATCTCTACTAAAAATACAAAAAATTAGCCAAGGATGGGTGGCGTACGCCTGTAATCCCAGCTACTTGAGGGGGCAGGACTCCCTTGAACCCGGGAGGCAGAGGTTGCAGTGAGCCAAGATTGCGCCATTGTACTCCAGCCTAAGCAACAAGAGTGAAACTCCGTCTCGAAAAAAAAAGTGAGAACTGCTACAATAACATTACTATTTTGTTCGAAAAGCTGGAATTCAGGTTTAACTGTCTACAACTCCTCATGATATCCCAGTTCTCTAGCTTTCTTTAGCTATAAAAGTGGCTTCCTTAAGAAAAAGGAAGAAAACTCATCTCTGTTTTTCGAGGACAACAATGGACAGTCAAAGAGATGTCACAGGTACATTCCGAAACAGAAGGGAAGGAAGGTTACGCGGCCCATCATCAGGTAGAGGTCAGTCCCCATGTGACACTGGCCCTTTCCAGTTGGGAACCACTTCTTGACAACAAGCCTAATTCCAGCACCATCAAAGGGCAGACAGGCCAAGAAAGCAAAGAGGCAAGAAAGTCCAACTTTCTGTTTCCATGATCCACTGTGGAAGCAAATATACAACCAACAAAACAACGGGGTCAATGAGCCCCCACTTTGGGGGCATTTTTAACAGTGTGTTTTGCAGTTTTTGCTAGTTAGTGTTATTAATAAGGTATCTTCAATTTCCTTAGACAAACAGTAAGAAGACAGGCAGAGAAAAGGAGAAAGAAAAATATTAATGCAAGCTGAAAAGCATAAGCAAAGCTTTCAGAAAGAGCTGAGAAAAACCTCCACCTTCCCAAGGACTAACACAAGAGTATCTGTCCTCTCTATACCACTGCTGTACACATTTAATCAACTCAGTCCTTGAGCATATCAGGAAATTTACTTACAGAATGTCCCAACGCCTTTAAAATATAATGCTAGCAAAGAACTGCTGTCAGGTTCTGAGTTCTTTTCTGTAGCCTTCTTCAATAAGCATTTACTGACCACCTACAAAGCGCCAAACACCATGCTGTTTATTAGGGAAACCCTACAACACAGTTTGATTCTTGTCCTCAGGGAGATCAGTACAAATGGGGAAGAGTCGAGTAAAGAGATCACCACCACAGAGAGTAAACACCAGGCACAAAGGAAGCCCAGACAAGCTCCAGTCCTATCAATATCCAGCCAACTAGCCCACGGTTAGGAACTTTCTGAACCTAGTGAACACTCTTGAGCGCAACTGAACCAGTCACAGCAGTATTCCCACACACCCATAGGTTCTTAGGCAGACACACCCACTGCATGGGCACAGACGCACAGCTGTGTCTGCGCATACATGTTTTCATTCAACAAATATTGAGGGCCATACTAAACGCAGTTAACAGTGCCAGCTCGGATCCTAATTCCTCATGTGACTTCGGACAAGTCACTTCCTGCTTTGGTACTGGTTCTATCAAAGGCCGCAGAAGACCTTGGAATATTCCTCCCCTCAGCTGTCAGCCCTCCTCCGTCGGTGCTGGTTCCACCCTTTCCTAAGCACTAAAAATTTAAAGGCTGAGACCATGAGTCAGTATTATTTTGAAATAACCGTGTTCTCCTAAATGTTTACAGTGACCACAGCACCTCATTCCTTTCTTCCACTCACCCTGACACATCGGAAATTTACTATTCGCTCATTTACGAAGCCTTTTCTACGTGAACCAGTCTACATTTGAGATTTAAGCAAGGGGAGGGAGCGGGGGGGGGATCCCTATGCAAATCACTGACCTCCGGAGATTTCTATCTAGTTGAGTAAGAAAAACAAACACGAACAGAGATATGTAAGATAACTTACACTGCAAGGCCAAGAGCAGGTGAAATGAAGCGGGGGCGGACCGCACCGCGAGGGTAAAGCCTCGATGCCCCCCAGGACTTAAGCTGGGGAGACCTCTGGGCAGGAGAACTGAGAAGGCAAGTTCCCCGGAGCAGAGGGAGCAGGAGGGGTGGAGATCGGACGCCAGAAGACCCCAGGTGGGGGGGCCGCAGCAGGTCCCGACAGTCAGACGCGTGGGACACTCCCGAGCGGCCAGAAAGGATGCAAGGCGGAGGCGGCAGTTGAGAAAGGGAGAGGGTCCGCAGGGCCGGAGGGGAGGGGCTCGGGGAAAGGCCCGGAGGGGGACGCCCGGGAAGCCACGGCAGGGGGCCCGAAAGACGGGGGGGGCCCACTGGGAGGGCTCCCGGACGGGCTGCTCCATGGGAGGCTGAGAGGGCGGACCTGGGAAGGGCAGCGGTCCAGGGAGGCGGGAGCACCCGTGGCCAGGCGCCTCAGGGGTAATTAGGGAGTGGGGACGCTGGGGAGGTGGCGCGGTGCGGGGTCCCCTCGGAGGAGCGCGAGGCTGGGCGGCGCTAAGGGAGAATCTGGAGGGGCGCGGGCTGGAGGGGAAAGGAGCTAGGGTCGTCCAGACCAAACAGAGACACTCACCTGCGAACCAGAGCGGACAACTGCAACACGCCGCGACAGCTGCTCGCGTCCCAGCCTTCGACTGCCGCACGTCCGGCGTCCTGGCCGCCGAGCTGACGTCACGCCGCGGCGCGCATGCGCGGCGGGCCCCGGCGGGTGGGGCGGGGTGTCTGGGTGGTTTCCCGAGAAACGGGGCGAGAGGAGGCGGTCGGTGTGGGTCTCCCAGGAGGTCGGCGCTTCCACTAAAAGGAAGTGTTACCGAGTGAGATCCCGCCTTAAAAATCTAAAAATCAAAAAAAAAAAAAAAGAATTGTTAGCACCCTAATCTTGGTTTCTAAATACCGCTCTCTAAAAACAGGGCCAAGGCCAGTTTGAGAATCGCTTGAGCCCAGGAGTTCAAGACCAGCCTGGGCAACACAGTGGGACACTTTCTCTACAAAAAAATAAAAATAAAAAAATTAGCCTGGCGTGGTGGCTTGCATCTGTAGTCCCAGCTGCCTGAGAGGCTGAGCGGGAAGCTTCACTAGCACCCAGGAGGTCAAAGGTGCAGTGAGCCATGATTGTGTCACTGCACTCCAGGTTGAGCAAAAGTATGAGACCCTGCTTAAAAAAAATAATAATTACAGGCGTGAGCCACCGCGCCCAGCCAAATAAAAGTAATATTTTAATAAAGTTCAGAGAAATGAGAGATATTTAATATTTTAATATTTTATGTAATATTTTAATAAAGCCTTAGAGAAATGAGCAACTCTAGGACCCGGGCTCAGAAAGCTCTAGCTGAGCCAGGAGCGTTTTGTAGGCCAGAAGCTCGAAGTGCTCAAAAAACGGAAGGACCGGGCGTCCAAGGGCTCAGGGATCTACCCAGAAAGCTCCCGGGGACCACACCTGGTACAATTTGAGCAGCAATATAAAGTACATTGCATTAAGTTATAACCTAGAGTATAAAACATCCCAGAGCCCGTGCTGATATAAATACCTGATTAAATAAATGAAGGAGAAGGGATAATCTTCCTTGCAGAGGAATTCTAATAATACCTCATCCAGAGGGGTGTGGTAATCCGTCTGCACCCACCCCGAGTGTGGCCAGTGCCTGGGGACGCCCTTTCCAAGAGCACAGTGTGGAAAGGGCTGTAACTTCACAGCGGAGGCACTCCACGTGAAAATCAAAGTGACTACTCACTGCATTTGCCCTTGACAAGATGTGATTAAAAAAAAAAAAAAAAGTGAGCTCAGTCTAACTGAAAGATAAACATCAGACAAATCTCATTTGTGGGATATTCCTCAAAACACCTCACCAAAACTCCTCAAACTATCAAGGTAATCAAAAGCAAGAAAAACACTGAGAAACTGTCATATGCAACATGGTGATGTAGCTAGGATATAAACTTCATATAAAAGTTTAAGTTTAGGTAATAGTTTTTAGTTTTGACAAATGTGTAATGGTTAACATTAGGAGAAATTGTGTGAAGGGTATACTAGCTTTGTAACTTTTTTGTAGTCTAAAATTATTCAAAATGAAAAGTTGGGGGTTTTCTTAAGACAATAGAGGGAAAAGAAACGTTGGCCAGTTGAAGTGGTTCATGCCAGTAATCCCAGAGCTTTGCGAGGCAGAGGCAGAAGGATTACTTGAGGCCAGAAGTTTGGCCTATAATCAAGCCACTGCATTCCAGCCTAGCAGGGGTTGGGGGCTGGTGCAGGAGTACTGCCTGGAAAGAGGCTTGAGAGATCCTCCTGGCAACCCCACTCCTGGGGTGCTGAAAATGTTCTATACATTGATCTGAATGGTGGGTACGTGTGTGTTAAGTAAAACTTTACCAAGCTGAACACTATACTTAAGATTTGGCCGGGCGCGGTGGCTCAAGCCTGTAATCCCAGCACTTTGGGAGGCCGAGGCGGGCGGATCACGAGGTCAGGAGATCCAGACCATCCTGGCTGACACGGTGAAACCCCGTCTCTACTAAAAAATACAAAAAACTAGCCAGGCGAGGTGGCGGGCGCCTGTAGTCCCAGCTACTGGGGAGGCTGAGGCAGGAGAATGGCGTGAACCCGGGAGGCGGAGCTTGCAGTGAGCTGAGATCCGGCCACTGCACTCCAGCCTGGGCGGCAGAGCGAGACTCCGTCTCAAAAAAAAAAAAAAAAAATTTGTGGCTGGGCGCGGTGGCTCAAGCCTGTAATTCCAGCACTTTAGGAGGCCGAGACGGGCGGATCACGAGGTCAGGAGATCGAGACCATCCTGGCTAACACGGTGAAACTCCGTCTCTATTAAAAATACAAAAAACAAGCCGGGCATGGTGGTGGGCACCTGTAGTCCCAGCTACTTGGGAGACTGAGGCAGGAGAATGGCGTGGACCCGGGAGGCGGAGCTTGCAGTGAGCCGAGATCCGGCCACTGCACTCCAGCCTGGGTGACAGAGCCAGACTCCATCTCAAAAAAAAAAAAAAAAAAAAAGATTTGTACATTTTTGGCCAGGCACGGTGACTCACGCCTGTTATCCCAGCACTTTGGGAGGCCGAGGCTGGCAGATCACTAGGTGAGGAGTTCGAGACCAGCCTGACCAACGTGGTGAAACACCACCTCTACCAAAAATACAAAAGAAAATTAGTCGGGTGTGGTGGCGCGCGCCTGTAGTCCCAGCTACTAAGGAGACTGAGGCAGGAGAATAGCCTCAACCCGGGAGGCGTAGGTTGCAGTGAGCTGAGATTCTGCCCCTGCACTCCAGCCTGAGTGACAGAGCAAGACTCCATCTCAAACAAAAAAAAAGCCTGGGCGCGGTGGCTCACGCCTGTAATCCCAGCACTTTGGGAGGCTGAGGCGGCTGATCACCAGGTCAGGAGATTGAGACTATCCTGGCTAACACGGTGAAACCCCATCTCCACTAAAAATACAAAAATTAGCTGGGCGTGGTGGCGGGCACTTGTAGTCCCAGGTACTAGGGAGGCTGAGGCAGGAGAATGGCGTGAACCCGGGAGGCGGAGGTTGCAGTGAGCCCAGAGCACGCCACTGGACTCCAGCCTGGGCGACAGAGAGAGACTCAGTCTAAAAATAAATAAATAAATAAATAAATAAATAAATAAATAGATTTGTACATTTTTCTGTGTATAAATTATATCTAAATTTAAAAGGGAAAAAACTTAAAAAAAAAAAAAAAAAAAAAACTTTGGAAGAGCCCTATTGTTATTGGTCTTCAAAACTCCAAATTCTGCCAGTCAGGGCCCCTGTCTTAACCCAGCTCCTCTCTGGGGAAAATAAAAAAATGCAGGGTAAGGAGTCCTGTGATGCCTGCAATCTCATCTTTTGCAAGATATTATGGCTTAGTCAACACAAGAGTTTGGAGATTGGTATCACGTGGGGTTCTTCCTGGTTCTGCTGCTCCTGGATGAGCTTGGGTAAATTGCCTGACATCACCAAGCCTCTTGACCAGCCCTCATTAAGGCTATACTAGCCCTGACCACCTTCAGGGTGAGTCTTAGGGATCTTTCAGGGTTTGAGTTTGGAGTATCCAAAAATACACTAACATATTCGCTCTGAGTGATGGGACTGTGGATGACATTTATTTTTTCTACTTTTCTGCATTTTCCAAATTTTCTTTCATGAATATGTATCACTTCAACAACAGGAAAAAGTAATATTTGAGTCTGGGTGTGATGGCTCTTACCTATAATCCCAGCAGTTTGGGAGGCCAAGACAGGAGAATCACTTGAGCCCAGGAGTTCAAGACCAGCCTGGGGCTGGGCGCGGTGGCTCAAGCCTGTAAACCCAGCACTTTGGGAGGCCGAGATGGGCGGATCACAAGGTCAGGAGATCGAGACCATCCTGTCTAACCTGGTGAAACCCCGTCTCTACTAAAAAATACAAAAAACTAGCCGGGCGAGGTGGCGGGCGCCTGTAGTCCCAGCTACTCGGGAGGCTGAGGCAGGAGAATGGCATGAACCCGAAAGGTGGAGCTTGCAGTGAGCTGAGATCTGGCCACTGCACTCCAGCCTGGGCGACAGAGCGAGACTCCGTCTCAAAAAAAAAAAAAAAAAAAAAAAAAGACCAGCCTGGGCAACACAGTGGGACACTTTCTCTACAAAAAAATAAAAATAAAAAAATTAGCCTGGCGTGGTGGCTTGCATCTGTAGTCCCAGCTGCCTGAGAGGCTGAGAGGGAAGCTTCACTAGAACCCGGGAGGTCAAGGGTGCAGTGAGCCATGATTGTGTCACTGCACTCCAGGTTGAGCAAAAGTATGAGACCCTACCTCAAAAAATAATAATTACAGGCGTGAGCCACAGCGCCCAGCCAAAAAAAAGTAATATTTTAATAAAGTTCAGTTTAAATGGATGTTCCAGGACCTGGAGGAGGGAGTGTCCCATAACAAGTTTTCTGATTCAGTGAAACTGGCTTTCTGGACTGGGCGTGGTGGCTCACGCCTGTAATCCCAGCACTCTGAGAGGCGGAGGCAGGGGGATCACGAGGTCAGGAGTTCAAGACCAGCCTGGCCAACATGGTAAAACCCCATCTCTACTAAAGATACAAAAAAATCAGCCAGGCATGGTGGCGGGCACCTATAATCCCAGCTACTCAGGAGGCTGAGGCAGGAGAATCGCTTGCACCCAGAAGGCAGAGGTTGCAGTGAGCTGAGATAGCACCACTGCACTCCAGCCTGGGTGACTGAGTGAAACTCCAACTCAGAAAAGAAAAAAAAAAAAAAAAGAAAACTGGCTTCCTGTTCATGTTTATTGAGAAGAGGCCAGGGGAAAGAAGGCTGGGTGCAGGTGAGGACGCCTGCTTTCCAGCCCCCCATCTGCCTGTCCTGAGTGGGCAGCCTCTTGTCTGAAAGTGAGAGGGGGACGTCCAGGAGTTCCAAGAGTTGCACTGGGACTCTGTACCCATCAGTGGCCTGCCTCTATGGGCCTCACCTGGCTCAAACCAAATCACCTGCTGCTAAGCCCCACTCCGTTTTTGCCCAATTTCTAGTATGCATTTCTTTACTAAAGAATGTAAAGTGAGAAGTTCTGCTGGTTAAAAAAGAAATTCCAGGCCAGGCACAGTAGCTCACACCTGATATCCCAACATTTGGAAGGCCGAGGAAGAAGGATCGCTTGAGGCCAGAAGTTCAAGACCAACCCGGGCAACA